ACATAGGAACATGCTACAGTTAAAGTGAGTAGCCTTCAATTAAATGCTATTGGTATACTCCGAAGGTCAATTGTTTTTGGTATTAAATTGTTTAACAACTTTTTAAATATTAAAAATGAAATGAGTAAATAATGCACTTAGAATGAGTATATTTAGTTTTCTTTTTTACAATCTATAGATCAATTTCTCTTAGAGCAAAAATGAAAATATATTAAATTCTAAGTACAAAAAATTATATACTCTCACTTTCTATCTTTGGTTGAACCAAAACCCCCTACTGCTAACATAATTTAGAGCAGTGGTTCCCATACTTGGCTGATGATCGACATCGTGGAGACTTTAAAGTACAGATTCTCAGGTACCTATTCTGGATCTACTGTAGCAGGAGTGGGGCCCTAGGAATCCACATTAAAAAAAAAGCTGTTCAGGTGATACAGACAGGATGGCAGATTTGAGAACCATTGCCATAAAACAAACAGGGATTTAAAACTCAGTTTTATCTTAGCCTCTTACTGAATACCTCTACCTCCTGTAATGGTTTTAAGGTAATAATGACCTTGTTGTAGGCTATTTCCTGCTGATTAATGACCAGCTGGAAGAATTTGTCTCTAGGATCTTTCAACCCCGACTGCCAATAATTACCCAACTAAATATATGCCTGCAGTTCAAATGCAAATTTTCCTCCACAAGGAACATCATCGGTGCTGTTAGGTTGTCTTGATTGCATTCCTTTTCTAATTCATCTCTCAAATGCCACAGTTGCTCCTAAACAGAAAAAACAAACAGGAGCATCAAAGTGTGTGTATCTGCTGGAACAAACAGAAGGGGAGAGGCAGGGAGGAAGATTTAGCTCTTAGGTGGATTTTGCTGAAATGTTCTATTTGTTGAGCAGTGATTTGTACCGGGTAATGTGAACTAGGTTGCCCTCAGTCTCTTTACAGATTACACCCCATTTCCTTTACTGTGCTGCTAAGTAATTCTTGGGGAATTACTCCCCCTCCAACTTCTCTCTGCTAACAAAATGATCTGGCCCATATGCTTCCACTTTATGTGCTGCTGGACAGCCACGGGCTTCATAAAGCAGCCTGCATTTCAAACTGTTCAGGCTGCAACTGCAATCTTTTCCACCCACCCTTTTCCCCGGCAGGTAAAGAAAACGTTCATACCTCAGGTTTTGTTACCAAGCAACATGGTTCCATTTGCCAATTGCCACCATTTCCTTCTCATAGTATTACAGGCCTTATTATTAACAGTTAGTTCAGAGAAATTGCTGTCATTATGTGAAGTAACTTCCTTTGGAGGTTATTCATTAACCTTAGGTATTTTACTGTGTAATTATAATTGCCAAGTGCCCCAGGCTTGGAAAACGTTTGAACTCCTCAAGGTATTAGGGGATGGCAGAAAGGATATTATCTGATTTTTCTTCCTTTTCCAGTTAAGGCTTAATTTTGAAGGTCCCCTATTTCCCCTCTAGAGGTGCCTGTCTTCCAAAAGGGCAAATTCTCTCATCTCCTTCTTCCAGATTACTGACTGTAAATTTAGAAGTAAACCATGGAGGAACTTGCCTGCCAGCATCTTATTTCCCCAAATAGCGTAGACCAGAGTGAAAATTGTTCCCCCTTTGTGTTAAAGAAAAATCGTGGGGACATTGTTTGGCACATACACTTGGGCTGACGTGGGGCTCTGGGAAGACCTTGCACAATGCCTGGAATTGTATATTGTGCCCAACGCGGTTCTGACACAACGGAAGACCTTCATCCTATTGCTCACCCGATGGCTCCATAAAAGCAGTTTTTCACTCCCTGGCTTTGCAGCAGCCAGGTGTGCATTCCATAATACGCCTATTATACAGCCATTCTCAGTAGCCATTGCTTATACAATGACCCTTCTGATTTGCCCCACTCCGGTGCGGTTGCCAACCACTCCGGTCCCCACCCAGTGTAACTCCAGGTATGCATTTCACATATATTTGCAGGCAAAAAAAAAAAAAAAATGCACCTTCCTCCTCTCTCTCTTTGTTTCAAGACAAACAAAGGTACCTGGCAGTTCCTCACCTCCCCCCAACCCCCATCCACATGTGCCTGCAGCACGGGTGCCCTAAAAAAGGAAACCTGTTTTCCTCCACCCAGGTTTCTGGTTTCTCCACCCAGTCTCCCCACGGCCCTCCACTCCCGCACCCAGTCCTTCCGGCCTCTACCCAGACTCGGAGAAGTGGCCCGACATTCCAGGTAACCTGACTCCCCAGACGGGATAGGCGGCGGCCTGCGGCGGCCAAGGGCGGCCACGTGACCTCCCTGCCTGCACCGGGGAAATGCATACCTCATTCCGAAAACTGGGGGACAGGTGAGCCCAGAGGACTGTTTTGAATCTGAATTGAAAAACATACATGTATGAAAAGAGTGCTTGCCTCTGCAGCAGACAGCTCTCCACTTTGATCATTACAAATGAAAAGGCACGACTGGCCTGGGGTTTTACGGTGCGAACTGAGCTGCAAGACAAAGGCGGCGCGATCCGGTGGGGAGGGAAAGGCGGAGCTGGTTTTGTGGGAGCTGCCGCGCAAGTCTGAACGCGGAGGCTTCGCGCGGGAGGGCAGAGCCGCGCCGGCGGCCCGCAGGCCTCTGGCTGGGAAGCCTGCCCCTGCGTCCCTGTGCCTGGCTCTCGCCGCCCCTCGCTTGCTCCTGACAGTTTTCCTCTTTCATCTGTGCAATGGGGGACACTCTGGTAGACTTTAAAAGGCGCGAGGACTTGCTGCTTTCACCCCAAATAAAGGGCATGTAGGCAGCTCTTTGAGACCTGGAAGGAACATGCTGTCACATGTAATCTAATGAGCTCAGCCTCCTCTTCCAGCGCCCGTTAATCAATCAGCCAACACTTTTAAGGCATCTAAGTGTGGATTCCGGGTGCTGGGGGAAGTGAGGGCACGGTCTCCGCTGTTAAGCTATTCATGGCTGGGGAGACGGAGTGCAGGAGTGAAACACGATCACAGCTCACATGCATGAGCGCTTCCCAGGTGCCAGGCTCTGTGCCGTGCTTTCCTTTCTTCCTCATAGTACCCTCATCTAGTAGGTTCGATATTATCATCTCCATTTTATAGACATTTCAGAGGGGTCACTTGGCCCAGGTCACACAGGGTGTGGGGTGGTCAGGCTGTGAGTCCGGGTCTGTCAGACTCTGCAGGGACCAGCTTCACCTGCAAGTCCCAATCCCTCAGTGTCCAGGGGAGGTGAGTAGCCATTCATTCCATCCTCTCCACTCTCCTTCTGCTCTTCCCGCCCTGCCCTCTTCTCTGGGAAGTGGAGACACCGCCTGGGGTCACCTGTGAGAACTTGTCATCAGCCACCACTGCCCTGTGGGCCCCTACACAAGTTCTGTTTCTTCCCCTTCCTCTTTCTGTGCTCAACAGTCACGTTCACTTATTTTCTCCTTAGGTGACATTAATCTTGTGGCATACACTTTGTCCTGTCCTTTGTGGTTTTATCATCCGAGTAGGGAGAAGAGACCTAATTCAAAACAGTTAAATATCAAAGGAGAATTTCACCTCGATGAAGTGGGACTTAGTGATCTCTGAGGTCCCTTCCTTTGAATGCAGTGATGGGTTCGCTCTCTGTTCTACCCAGGGCAGCGACTTTCCTGAAACACTGTTGGGTGGAGTCAGGGTTTTCCCAGCACCAAAGGCAGGGCTGACAGTACAGACATCTTCAACTCCACTTGCCGCATATGGTTGCTGAACTCCCACAGGATGACTAAAGAACCAAACAGAACGCGGTTTTCCCAGGTAAGCCAACAGTTTGATGTTTTGTAATAGTGTGGAACATCAGCCAGTAGGCTTTTATGAGTACCATGGGGAGACACATCCTTTGACCTGGTAAATAATCTTACTTCTCTGGATGTGAGGCTAATTACATCAGCTCCCTTGGGCATGGGTCGGAATTGGAAATGTTCTGGTGTTGGAAAATTCCAGATGGATAGGAATTAACCCCAGGATATTGTTCTTTATGTTGTATCCCTAGTCAACCCAGTTGGCAGAAAGTGAGTAGGCCTGGAAATCCTGGTTTAGTGCAAGTCTCTCTTCTCTTAACCAGAAATAGAGGCATCTGAAGACTTGCTACTTAGTTTTACTTTTCTTGAGCATATATTTATATCACTTATCGGTAAAAATAATGAGAAGAACAGAGCAGGTGCTGGGAAACCTGGGTTCTAGTTCTGGGCCTGCAACTAACCAGACTTGGACCCATCACACCAACCCCCACCCATGTGAGCCTCAGTTTCCCCACCTTTAAGGATATAAAAATTTGGACCAGGCTGGTGGTTTTCACATCAGAGCAGCCTGCTTTTTATCTTTTATATGTTGGAGTTTTGTGTAAGATATTAGTTTAAAAACAGAAGGGGGTATTCACTGGTAAAAACTGTTATAAAGCCCCTGTCTAGAGGTTTGCTGAGGTCCTCCCCATCTTCAGCCCTAGTGATCTCCAAATCTGTTCAACACAGTTGGTGATGGCCACGCTCCTTGGGGATCACAGCTGTTTAGGTTGGCTGGGTTATAAACTGCATGGGGAAAGGAGTAGAAGACACGATTGGAAATGAAGTTTAAGTCCAGACTTGATATTGCCCTGGGTGCAAGGCCAGGAGACTTGATATTGAGTCCAGACTTGATATTGCCCTGGTACTGGGCCAAGGAGTCTGGACATTGTTTCATTGGAATTTGGGAGCCACCAATGATTTTTGAAAGCAAACATTTGTCAGGTATGATTTGCATGCAGCTGTGAGTAACAAGAGACTGGAGAAATAGTGGCTGATGTACAGAAGAGTTATTTCCCATGGGCGATTCCAAGCAGGTGTGTGAGCTCCATGCAGTCTTCAGGGATCCAGGCTTCTGCTGTTTTTCTGCTTCTCTGTCCTAGGGGAGCAGGCCTCCGTCCTCACAGTTTCTGCATGGTCTGAGATGGCCGCTGGCCTCCATCGGCAATGCCTGCATTGCAGGATAGAAGGTGGGAGAAGAGAATGGCAAAGGGGCATGCATCCCAGCAGAGTCCGCCTTCCCAGCAGCCTGCACAGCTCACTGGCCAAAATTTAGTCACAATGGAGACTTTATTCTGGGTAGCAACATTACTCACTGAAAGTCAGGGAAGGGAAAAGGACCCTGCACTGTGTTCATTTATGCAGTGGCAGCAGATGGGAAGCTGTGGTCTAGCTGGAGGGAATGAGGACCCGACCTAGAGTGACCCTGAGAAGGTGGGTGGTGGACAGGGGGAGAGTTAACGCAGAGGAGGGCCAACGGGATTCTCCAGGTTTGATGGGATTTTGCCGGCTGGCATGAGGTTGCTGGAGGATACCAAGATCACGCTTAGTTTGGGAGCCATATGGAAAGGATGCTGGTGATTCCATTGAGTAAAATAGGGAAGTTGGAAGAGGAGAAGTTTTAGGAAAGAAGTTTTTAGGAATGAATTAGATTTTGGACATGTTGAGTTTGTCCAACAAACTACACTAGCACTGGAGTTTGGGGGAGTTTTACATTTCTAAGTAAATACTGAGTTTACCTAATTTTTTAATCCTAATTAAAAAGGATTAAAGCATGCCCTAATGTCTCCGATGCTTTTTTGGGCTTCATAAGTTGTTGGACTCTGTTCATCATGATGGAGCAAGCCAATGGGGTTACCTCTTCTTTACTCTGCTGGATCCAAACACCATAGAAATTCTTTCCCACCGTTGGGCTTAAAGATCCTGAGAGTTGTGACAAAGATGACGTTCTAGGCAGATACACATTTCTTAAAAAGGCCTCTGGCCAGAATCCCTATGTAGTCATCACCTTGGTGAGCTCAAATATGGACATAGCATACAACTCTTCAATTCTGGTGCAGAGGCATTTCCTGGTAGCAGATTCCCTTATTTTCCTTTTTCTCTGAGTCTCAACCTGGCCCCACCTGATCTTTTCTGTCTCGGACCTGTTGTTTGAGTGGAATAGACTAGGTGGGGGCTGCCCATGTCTTAAGAAGGGATATAAGGGTCATATCTGGTATCTCTGGGTCTAGGAGAAAACTTACAATGGAAATACGGAAAGGAGGGCAAACTGAGTGGGGGGGGGTGGGGACAGTCGGCAAGGTTAATAGTTCAGGTGGTCAAGAGGTGAAGAATTAAGGCAAAGGGTTGTGAGCTCAGGCAGCCGAATTTAAATCCATGAGCACGGGGTATTGTGGAGAAAGCTTCTAGTGCTCCTTGCCTAGGTAAAAGCAGCTCCTTCAAAGAGAAAACATGGGTGAGATGATCCCAAGCAAGTGAAGGCCTCAGAAGAGAGATGTTCAGCGAGAGAGGCGAGACTAGCCTCTTCCCAGCCTGTGTGTGATGTATATACTGTTAGTGACTGGTATGCCTAGATATATAAATCCAGATCGGATCACTTTTTCCTTTAGCATTCTAGCGGCGTTGTTCTCTTGCCTAATGGCTGCAGGTGTCGCTGCTGAGGGGTGCGACAGCGATTCTATGAGTCCTTTATTTGTGGCCTTTTCCCCTCTTTTGGAAGCTTTTAGGATCCTCTCGATTTGGCACTGAAATGCTTTGCTGTAAATCTTGCATGGTATTCAATCTGCTGCTCACTTAACGGGCCTTTACTCATGTCTTTCCGTTATGGAGAATTTTCTCACATTATTTCTTTGATGATTTCTGCCATGATATATTCTCTGACCTTTGTCTCTGGAAATCCAATCAGTCACATGCTGGATCTTCTGGACATCTTCCTTTCTCCAATTTTTCATCCTTTTGCTTTTATTCTGTAGATCTTAGTATTGCCTTCTTCATAATGTAATTAAAATATTTTTAAAAATTACTTACAAATGCAATTTTTTCCTTGTTGTCATCAGTGGGGTGGTCAAGGCCCAATGAGTGGGGATGGGGATGGGGAAGGCTTTTAGGCACTAAGAATGTGTCCTGCTGGGAAGTGTTCTGAATCTCCCGTCCCTTGTTGCTAGTGGTCACCCACAGAGTCCTGGTCTTCCACGTGACTTGACACAACTGGAGGTGAGTGTCTCCTTGGCTTTCTGAATGGAAAGGGAGGTCTTCTTTGCAGCCAGAGCTCTTCTGGCTTTCTGTGCCTCTACGGCTTAGAATGTATGTTCATGCTTTGGGTCGGTAATGTAAGTAAGAAATTGAAGACATGGATGGGTGCAAATGACTAACCTGTTGTTATCAGTATCCATGGGGTGGTTTTAGTTTTGCGTGGATCCTGATGAGTTAGTTGCAGGGTTCCAGGCAGCCAATTACCTATATTGCACGAATGAAGCTTCTTTTGTGAAAGAAGCTTGGATTCATCTGGGTTTTTAGAACATTTTCGCTTGAACATCATATTGGCATAATATAAATTTTAAAATGCTTGCTTGTGTACTATGTTTTTTTCCAAACAGAATTTGAGCATTTAATAGCATATATCAAAATAATCTTCTCCTTTTACTTGTCCACTGGACCTGTAGAGAGTCAGGGCCTTGCCAGGGTTCTCGGAGTCCTTGCCCTCCTTGCAGCTTTGGATACTAAGCAACCCCCAGCCCCTTAATATACTCTCTTCTCTTTTGACCCTGTTCTGCTACTAACCCTTGGTCCTTCCATTTAATAGAGTGTCTCGCTGCTTTCCATGCCTCTCTGCTGCACTCTTCCTGATGCCTCTTCTTCCTCACACTCTCTGACTTGGGCTTTTCTAGTGTGGCTCGAGGATGTCCAGCATTACAGTCACCTGGGGCCTGGCCTGGCCTACTGGATCAGAACCTTTGGGGGTGCATGGGCATGGCCGAGGGGCCTGCCTGCGGTTCCAGCACTCCTCAGGCTTCTCTCGCTCACCAGAGTTCAAGACGCTCTGCTCTGATTCCTGCTACTGCCAAGCTGTTCTGGACTCTGCTTTGCATCCTTTGTCTTTTCTCTAGGGGAGTTCATACTCCCCAGCAGGCTCTGCTCTCCTGCTGCCCAGAGACTCCCCTCCAGCTCTGACCTCTCGTCTAGCATCTAGTCTTCTACTTACAACGGTTCCCAGGAAACCTCTGTGTGCTGGGTGTGACCACTCACACTCGCCATCTATGGAAACAGCAGCCGCAGGAGTTAGGTATTTTTCTACCAGGTTATTTTGTACATGAGGACACAGGTCCTAAAAGGGATATGCACAGTGAGATTTGTTTTGTTAGAGAGAATCATAATAAATGCATATGGAATACTTGGATGGAAGAATGACCCACCCTGGAAACACACTGTCTTTGTAGACTTTACGTGGAACCTGGGTTTGTTGTTCTTTCTTCCATTATTTCCACGAGAGCCACTGGGAGGTAGGAGAGGGGAAACAAATGGTAAACTGTGTGCAAGAGTTCTGCATTAACAATCAAAGTCGAAAACCTGTGGGAACCTCCCTGGAATATGACAGGGAGGAGTGCCCTAAAATGAGCCTTTACCCAATAGCGTTTTTTCCTGAATTGCGTGGTGTTCATTGACTGTTGATTGCTGCAGAACTGGGTCAGTTGGAGGTCAGAGAGGCAGGGAAGGGGGAAGCTGTGGGCTTAGAGACAGAACAAGCAGTTCCACCAATCTGTGTGAAATCTTCAGGGAGAATGTAGGGCTTTCAAAAACACTTTCTGGATCTTTTCTTTATAAAAGCATCAGAAGAGTAGATCAACTGCCCTGTTCACACTTTGCATAGGAAGCAATACAAATGTCGCAGAAAAAGAACCCATTATGAGAAAGCAGTTAAAACAATTGCGCGTTAAGAGAGTTAGGTCACTGCTGGCCTGATCTGGCTGTGATTCGAATCAGTTTTAGGACTTGAGAAAGGAATGTTTGATCTAACAGAAAACGGTCTCCTCTTTCCCCTTCTCCTGCCCTCCCCCCTTCCCAGGTCGCTGCGGGATCCCTGGGGGACTGCTGCTTCCTCCAAGAGCCCCCGCTGCAGCTGGAAGAGAGGCTTGTTTCTCCAGCTGTCCAACCTTTAGTTTTATCTGCCTCTTGTTGACCTCTTAGTTTTATAATGAGTCAGTTTATTTGCTTGTGCAAATTGAGTTTTCTTAGAAATATAACAGAGCTAGAAAGAGGCCAGTGTTTTGTTTCCCCTTGAGAAGGAGAAACAGCCATGGGACTGAGCCCTGCTGGGGCTGTTCGTTCTGGGACAGTCCCTGTTGTTGGTTTATTTTGATACCATGTAGTGAAGTCTGGTGGGCAGAGAAATATCGTCTCCCTTGTCGGAGGTAGAAATATCTGTGGGGTTTACAAGCTAATTGCTTCTCGATTCCTAGGAGTTCTGAGAATTTGCTTAGCAACTACCCTGGCCAGCCCCTGCCCCCGCCCGCAACACCACTGTACTCCCTGCACTTACCGGTGGGGCTGATGGAGCAGTTTTCGAACTAAACAAGGATTAAGCATTTTGTGAAAATGGTGCCAGTCTTTTCCTCGATGGGACCTGAGCCTGTAACTCAGTCCAACAAAACGAGGGAGAACCAGCCAAAAAAAACCTTTTTAAGAAACAACACAGGCAGTAGGAAATCATACTGGTCAGGGCTTGTTTTCCTGGCTCAGGGCCTCATTCCAACCTGTTGCAATCAGCTCTGGAGTGTCTGTAGGGACACCCCGGTGCAGGGGCCCCACGGAGGAAAGGAACTTTTACATTTCTGTTTGACTGGGCTCCTTGCCAGGGGCTAAGTTCAAAGTGCAGTTTCCAGTAATTTGCTGAGACTTCTTTGTGGGTTTGATAGGCCAGGACAGAAGCCTGCAAGCCGAAGTAATATTTCCTGATTTCTGTCATTTCTTCAGAAGAGAAGGAAGGTTGCTGAGGGACTGGGCTTTGGAGACTTTTGTTGGCTCCGAGAGCAGATTGGGCCTCCCCTGCCTCCTGCCGTCCCCAGCCCTTTCCCCCAGATCCCATCCAGAGCCCCTGGCAGCCTGGCACCGACGGAGTCGCCCGCTCCCTCCTGCAGCAAACGTGGGGCACCCGTTCCCTGCAGCCAGCGAAAGCTTCCTCTGATTTACTGCATGTGAGCGTTATTTGGAGCTATAAAGTTGTCGAGTAATGGCAATATGTTCTTGTTTTCTCATATCTGTAGGATGAAAGTGAACATTTTTATAATCCTTCCCTCCTCACCACATTCAGTTCCCTGGTGTTAAACATGTGGGCTTGATTAAAGGGGGAAAAGAGCTACAAGGAGAAGTTAGATTTTTACATTCCTCTCTTACAATGCCTCCTTCCCTCAACTACCCACTTTGCAGAATGTTGAGGGCAAGGTCCATCTTCTTGTCATTTCATCTTTGTGTTCCTCCCACCCCCACCCCGTTCTATCAGAGGACTCGATGCATAATAATTCGAAATGAATCCTTGTTAAATGAAGGGGTAGGTAGTGGTGGCATCTCACTTTAAAGAAGGATTTGGTAGAGCAATGTAGTTTCTATGTCAGCTAGAGGCTTATAGGAATGGTGCTTCATTGATTTGCTTACAACTCATTTTCTGCAACAAGGTGTTGTGTTCTAAAAATGTTTGCTCTGGTTCCTGTGTTGGGCACTCTTTCCATGGAAATGACCCAGCTGAGCATCGAAGGCCTTAGGAACTCTGCAAGGTTCTTTAACCCTGTCATCAAGTTGCAATCACCTTTTACTACAATCACCCACTGCCTCAAACATCCTTATATCTGCTATAAGAAAACCAAACAAAACCCCAGGAATACACAAAGAGGCCTAAAAGGGTATGGAGATAGCCTCTGGGTGTCATTTCCTTCTTTCTCCCCAAAGTTCCTTCCCCTACTTCCTTGTCCTCCTACAACACATTTCTTTTCACATGCTAATTTGCTTCTGAAAGACTAAGCTATATATACTGCTTTTCTTCTAGCTTGGAAACTGAATTATAGCAATTTAACATTATAACATAATTCTACTGCAATAAAGCAATTTGGTGCTGGTGGTGGTGATGGAGTGGATGTTGGTGGGTGTGGGGAGCAGAGAATTTACTATATGGAGTTTTTCTGCATTTGTTTAAGAAATGCTAGCATAAAGCCATGTTGCTATGAAATCTTATTGAAATGTATTTGTTAGAGGATCGGTGCCATTTTAAGCCATCTAAAATTTATCTATATGATGCCAAAAGAACTGGTTAAAGGATTAGAAAAGACAGGAGACTTTTTGGGTTGTATAGACTTATATCACACAAATAATGGTTTGTGTCATTTTCTCCCACCTCTACTGACTGAATTGGTTTTTAAAAACTTGAATGAATGAATGAATGAATGATTTGTTTTTACAACATAGAATTAAAAAAAGAGTCTCAGCTGGATGTGGTGGTGTGTGCGTGTAGTCCCAGCTACTCAAGGGGGTGGGGCAGGAGGATGGCTTGGGGCCAGGATTTTGAGACTGTAGTGTGCTATGATCATGCCTGTGAATAGCCACTGCACTCCAGCCTGGGCAACATAATGAGGGCCTGTATAAAAATAAGTCTCAAATATTTCAGTAGTCTTTAGTTACAATTCAAAAACTTGTGATAAATTGTCTATAAAACTGAACACCTAGCTAACTCTGTAGTAAGTCTTGGGGAAAAAACGAGCAAAGAAAAATGAATAAAAATTCTTGCCTGATGATGGCCCATACTGTGGTGCAATGAGATTAGGTAATCTAGATCCTTGAATGAAGATACTTTTCTCATCATCAGACATCTCTTAAGGCAGAGCATGGATTTCCCAACACATATCTGCCTACCACACATCTCTGTTCAATAGAAGACAGACATCTGTAAAAGACAGTGGCCTCACAATTGGTCTAAAGCATGTATTACTTCCTGCCAATTCCTGTATGTGCTCGTGGCTGGGGAATGTGATTAACTGCATCCTGCCTCCTGGATCTGTAATGTTAGATCTTTGGCATTTATGGAGACAACACTGGCAGTTTCATCTGCTCATGGGGGATCCTAAAGGTCCAGATATGTATCATTTGTGATCTCCTGAGGCCCAGAGCTCTGAAATTTCATCTTGTGCCTGGGAGCAGGCCCCATATGCCGTGAATGAACCGTGAATGAACCGCCAACTAGCTCAGCCATTGACACCTTAGTGAGATTCTGTTGTTCTTCACACATCTTGATAGGTGCAGCCAGTAACTCTTGTCAAGTGAGCAACATTTGGTCTTTTGTGAAAAATGTACCTCTAAACAAAGTCCCCTGAGTGTTTGATGCAAATGACAACTCATCTGACAGTTCATCAGGCCTAAGAAAATGAAAAGTCTTAGTGAGAAAATATTTTTACACAAATTTTAATCCTGTATTTTTCATTTCATGCACTTATTAAGAGGTCTAAAGAATCACTAAGATTTTTCAACTGTACTTTCCTATACATTATGGAAGATGTTATATGTGACAGTGTTATTTGAGAGTTTGTATGTTAAATGAACTGCTTGGGGTCATACATTCAGTTTTTCTCATTTGTTATGCTTGGGATATCATAGACAATATTTTTGAAACTATCATGTTGTAGGAATAAATATTTACGACCCGTTTTAGGATAAAGACTACCACTGGCCTATACCATTTAAATGAACAGTATCGAAATTGAGTGACATAAAAATAAATTCACAGGAGCGCTAAACTGCACAGAGCAGCAACATAAATGAATGAGTATGCCTTGATGAGAAAAACTCAGAAATGAAAAGCATTGGGAGGGAATTACTCATATTACAAAAGCTTTCCTGCCTGCAGGAGAGGGCCGGCTCCAGGTTAGGCCTCAGGTAAGGGTGGGGTTTCTTTAGTTCTTTAACCCGAGGTTGTTCTGCCAAGTTAGTATTGACCACTCCCAAGCAGCCCTTCCTTTTTCACCCCACATTCCCCCTCTTATTTCCTGTGGACTCCTGTCTTCCACTTCAGTCATCTCAAAGCCAGGTAACAACTGGGTGGAAAGGAGGAAGGAACCAAAGTATGATAAATGCCTTCTTTGTTTTACATAGAGTATCTCATTTCATTTTTACAACATCCTCTGAAGTGAGGAACTGGTAACATCCAGTTCTGCAGAAGGAGCTCAGAAATATTAAGTAACTTGCTCTAAGTCACACAGCAAGAATGTAGAGGGATTTGCATTCAGGTTTGTCTGCTCTGAGGGCAGATCTCTTGCTACTCCCCAGAAGCCTCCAAACAGGAGGGGTTTGGCCTGTTTGTGATTTGGTGGAGGGGATTTCGTTGCTTGTCCCTCTTTCTCTCAAGGTCTGACCGTATTGTTTCGTTTATAGTGAGTTTCCCTGATACACTGAATGTATGGTTGGATTAAGGAATATATCTATCACATAAAGCAAGGAATATCCGATTACTTTTCCCCCTGTGTCTATGAATACTGGAGTTCAAGGATCATACTTGTAGTTAAAGGTGCTTCCAACAAAGCTACTCTTTTAATGCCGTCACCTCCTTCATTATTTTCAAAATATCCCTCAGACATTTTGGCCAAAAAGCTATCTATTTAGGTTATAATTTTGAATGTATCACCATGCTATCTTTGTCAAAAGTTTAAACTCAAAATTTTGTCCTTTTCCCACCCCCCAATAAATTTAATCCACCATTACCCACTAACTGTGGATTGAAATAGCAAGTCATTATGATGTCTGTATTAACATCCAAGCACACTGGGTTTCTTCCAGGATTCCCATATCTATTATTGTTAAAATGTATAACTTTTAAAACTCAAATGGTTTTCCCAAGCCAATTCTCTAATCACAGACATAAATTTCACTCCATTAAGGAAAGGAAACCAGGCAGTATGACTAAAGTTAGGAATATGATCAAATTTCAAGGGAGAGGGGAAAAAAAAAAGATTAGGCGTGGAATTCTTTTCATTGCTTTTGCTTGTGAAACATGGTTAAAATAAAACCCTGCTTTCCTGCACACATAAAGCACGTAGACCTTTAAAGTGAGCGGTTGGATTCAGATGCAGAGAAGCTGCCCCTGAGTGCAGGCTCCTCACTTTTCCTTAGAATGGTTGGAGGGCTTGTGGCTCTGGGGAGCCACTAAGACAGGCTGTCTTCTTTTCTCTGCCTTAGGGTGGTTTTGACTTATTCAGTTGCATTTTCTCCCGTGAAATACCTGTTGCATATTTATGAGTTCTCAAAATAATGACAGTCCCTGAGAACTTGTGATAACAAGGCAGGCCTTTAAACAAGGAAAGAGGATGTGGTGGGAAAGTCCGGCTGCAGAGGCTATGGATGGTAGGTTCGGTGGTATTCTTTTGATTGCTACTCCTGAACATACCTCAGCCCCTCCAAGGGTTGCTTTTTAATGTTTATCAAGATTTTTCTTTATAAGAGTCTCTTTCAACCTGTTCGACTTGCTTTCTTGCTATTTTTTTTTAAATAAATGTATTCAACTACCTTTTAAAAATGTTAACTCTTCTACTGTCTGTATTAAGAAAATGAGACGAGACACCTCTCCACCCCTACCTTATTAACAAAGGAGCGCACACATTTCTTTTGAGTGTGTTCAGGGGTGTGCACATTCTTGATTTCATAGGAATATATATATATATATATATATATATAAAAGTAGAGAAAATGATAAAAAGTAATTTTGGGTGTTTACCTCATTGCTGATGCACATTTATGGATGTTGAATTTGAAATAAGTCAGAATGGTTAACTGAGAAGGAAGAATCTTTTCAAGTTCTCCTAGTGTCAAAAAAAGGAAGACAAAAAAAGCTCATTTTTTAAATCTGTATTTCTGTTGTTGGTAGAAGTTGGAAATAAGATATTTGGAAAGTAAAGTAGCAATAATTATTAAAACTAAAAATATACATGTCCTTTCAACCTAGCAATCTCACACTTGGGAATCTGTACCATATAAAAAATATCTACAGTCATTACCAAGTGGCTCTCAGTCATTTTAACTCCCTGGATATGACTTACTGTTATCTCCTGTTTCTCTTGTTGTTCATTTGTTAACTCCCTTGTTGACTCATTCATTCATTTATTGTCTTCTCCCACCAGAATGTGAGCTGTATGAAAAACAAGGACCTCATCTATCTCCTTCATCATGGGAACTCCAGCATCCAGAATCGACCCTGGAACCAAATGAACACTTAGTAAATGTTTGCTGAATGAAAGAAATAAAAGCACTAATAGATCAGGATGTATATCCAGGGATATTTATTGCGGCATTATTATGGTGGCTAAAGCCTGCAGTCAAAGAGAGTGCCCGCCATTGGTGAGGGGCAGGTTGGGAGCACTACCACTCCCGGGCTTCTTGGCACGGCTCTAGCATCAGATGCCTGGGCTTTAATCCCTGTATTCATCTTAACTGTGATGAACAGTCCTGGGAAAAGTGTTTAGCCCTTGTGTCTCAGTTTCCTCATCCATAAAATGAAGACAGTAATGATACCAATCCATAAATTTTTTGTGAGAATTAAGTGAGATAATGCAGGCAATGTATTTGGGAACAATGCCCAGGACATAGTAAGTAATCAATATTAGTTATTCTTATTTCATGACATAGTGAAGAGAATGGCTTACACATCACTGGGAGGCATTTCCAAGATGCAGCTTAGTGGGTAACACATGATGATGAGAAGTACATGTAACAGATACTCCTTTTGCAAATGTAACAATGACAATAAAAAACCTATGTATGTATATGCTTATGAAAGTGTAAAATTATGGCAGATATATACTAGATATATAAAGCTGTGTGTGTGAAGAGCAGGATTAAAGGGTGGGAAAGTGGAGAAGAGAAAATTGGAAAACAACAAAATGACTAAATAGTATGATATTCATATTGCCAACACGTTACCAATACCATGATTGAAATTACAAAATATATGTGTGTATGTGTACATATGCAATAAAGTGCTTAATAGAAGGTCTCTGATGTATTAATAGTGGTTGTCTGAGAGGGGTTGGGATTCCAGGTGATTTCTTCCTTAAACTGTGGTGTATTTGAATTTTTGAAAATAAGCATGTATTTATGTAATCAGGAAAAAAAAACAATAATGGGGGAAAAGAACAAAGCAATATTTCTCTGTTTCTATAACTGTCTGTTGAAGGAAGAGAGTTGAATGTGTCTATCTTCTAGAGCTGTGGTCCCCAACCCCTGGGCCGCTGACCAGTACCAGTCTGTGGCCTGTTAGGAACCTTGCCACAGAGCAGGAGGTGAGCAGTGGGTGAGCAAGTGAAGCTTCATCTGCATTTACAGTCGCTCCCCGTCGCTTACATCATCACATAAGCTCCGCCTCCTGTTAGATCAGAGGCAGCATTAAATTCTCATAGGAGCGTGAATTCTGTAAACTGAGGATGCGAGGCAGGTAGGTTGCCTGCTCCTTATGAGAATCTAATGCCTGATGATCTGAGATGGAGCTGAGGCCGTGATACTAGTGTTGGGGAGTGGCTATATGAGCAAAGAGGTTTGACTCAACAATAAATGTAATGTGTTTGAATCATGCCACAATGGTCCCTTTCTCCCCCCACAGCCAGTCCATGGAAAAATTGTCCTCCACAAAACTGATCCCTTGTGCCAAAAAGATTGGGAACCACTGTTGTAGATGTTTCGAGCCTGTGGAGTTGTCAGAACCAAATTTGGAAGGAGCCCTTGGCCACATGGTCTGCATACAAGATGGATTGTGGCAAATCTCATGCCTGCTACCTCAATATCCTCCTATACTAGAAAAGTGAACTTAAATCTGAGGGATTATATGAACCAAAGGTGCTGTAAACATAGGCAAATGGACACAAAATTCTTGAAAATGTGAGAGAAGGGAATCCCAAATGCCCATATCTGTGGACAATTCAGCTATAAGAAAGAGTATAAACCCAAAATTTAGAAATTTTCTTAAAATGCCACTTTACTCATGTCAAAGCTTTGTTCAAAAACTCATATTCCCTTTGCATCACTGATAGGATAAAACTGATATTCTTTAGGTTGGTCTTCAAGTATCGATACATGTGCTAATGTTCTCTTCTGCTATTTCCTTATACCAGTTCTCTACTTTAGGCAGTATAGACCTCCCAGTGTACACTAAAAATCTCTCTTTACCTTTGTTCATGCCCTCTTCCCTCCTTTTCCCTTTGTTTTGGCTCTTATTCATGTCTTAAGCCTGGGCTTAAGTCCATCATGTTTGAAAAAAATTTTCAAATTAGTCCTCAGAAACTTCTCTGAGGACTCTGAAGTTCCATTTCACAGAGGGCGAAACATAACTGAACTAGTTTCTACTTGTACTTGTGAGTTTCTCTAAGCTGTTTCATTGAAATATGAATAATTTAATGATTTTTTTTGGCTTATAAATTTACCTAAATGGCTATATCTGCACAAAGGACAAAACCCATATACCCAGTACTTCATAAATGGAAGACTATTATTCTGTTCAAGGTGAGATTTAAAACTAATGAACTTGGTTTAAAGAAAAATTAATAAACATACCTCTAAAAATGTTTTCTAAGGAAGACATCTTCTAAAAATGTTATTTACATTTAATTTGAGAATTCTGTCACTACCTTTCTTTTAGAATATTTTAAAAAGCCAGTGCATATGCTTCTTAAAAGAAATTCAATCTCCCTTATTCATAGTTACATCTGGTTTTAAACCAAAGACAGCTTTATTATCTACCTTATTCAAGTGATCTTGGCTCTATGTGGTTATAATTTTAACTACATATATTAGCAAAAGGTGCTCAAAGGCTAAAGATTTACCATTAGCAAAAGGTGCTCAAAAGAATTTTCTAATAGTCTCTAAAGGGAATTTCAAGACAAGAGTTCGAAAAATGTTGTCAGCATCATGTTATTTAAATTCTGGAAAGACTAACCAATTAACCAAGGCCATATAGCTTATTCAGGAACAGTGACAGGCTAGAAATCTAGGACTTTTGACTCCTGTCCACTGGGTTTTCTGCTAAACTACACTACCACTAGAGGTCTCGGTGAGGAGCTTATGGGCTGCCCCCTAGATGTGGTGTTGAGAGAGGAAAAAGAGCTGTCCCTTGGGGGTAGAATTAAGCAGGTGGCATTGACTGAAGCCTCCACTTCTTTGGGAGCAATGGAGTGTCAAAATGTTGAGAACTGAAAGATTGCTCAATCTTTGTAGTCTATTTAGCTGTTGGTATTTGGGGGAAGGAGATTGTTGGCTTTATGTTGTGGTCCTCACTAAGAAGAAGGGGTAACAATTTCTCATGAGCCAATCTTACGGGTTTGAATGCCCAGAAACTCTAAGTCAGGGTTTTGACCAATTTGGTGGAGCTTAAATATTATAATAGCTAGCATTTAAGTGTTTACTATATGTCAGAAATTGTAGGTACCTTACATATTGTAGGTACCTTACCTCATTTAATCTTCACAACAACCTATTGAAGTAGGTTGAGGTAGGTCTCCCTCCTATTTTAGAGATGGGGAAGCTGAATTGCAGAGAGGTTACTCAACTTGCTTTAATTTGCCCAAGGTTACGTGGCTATTAAGTAGCTGAATTAGGATTCAAACCCAGGCAGTTTGGCTTCAAACCCTAATCAATTAAAAAATTTACTGTAGAAAGTTTCAAACATACACAAAAGTAGGGAGAATAGTGCAATGAACCCCCATTTACCCATCGCCCACTGACACCAATCATCAACTCATGGCCACTTCTGTTTTATCTGTATCTCCACTTACGTCCTTGGTCTCCCAGCCCCCTTCCTGGATTATTTTCAAGAAAATGCAGACATCCTATCATATTATCCATAAATATTTCTTTATTGCTAAAGAAAAAGACAAAAAACCAAACTCTTCTTCAGAGGATGCACATAGTGTCTGTTTTCTCTTTTTGTGACATTAGCAGCTTTGATGATCATCATCTAGATCTGAGTTATCCTATCATTTCTTCCTCATGTATCTGCTGGAATACTTTCTATATGACAACTATTTGATTATTCTGATGTTATTAACTGTAGTCATCATATGATATACAATAATCTCTTGAACTTATTCCTAACTGAGATTTTCTTTCCTTTGCCCAACATCTCCCTAAGCCCTCCACCCTGGTATTTGTCTTTCTGTGCCTGGCTTATTTCACTTAGCATAATGTCCTCAAGGTTCATCCATGTTGTCACAAATGACAGGATTTCCTCCTTTTATTAAGGCTGAACGGTGTTCCATTGTGTATATATGCCATGTTTTAGCTGTTCATTTGCTGATTGACACTTAGGTTGATTGCGTATCTTGGTTATTGTGAATGACGCTGCAATGTATATGGGAGTGCAGGTATCTCTTTGATATACTGATCTCAAATCCTTTGCATATATACCCCGTAGTGAATTATTGGATCACACAGTAGGTCTAGTTTTAACTTTTTGAGGAACTGCCATACTGTTTTACATGGTGGCTGTACTAATTTACTTTCCCACCAGCAGTGTACAGGCTTCCCTTTTCTCTATATCCTTGCCGACATTTACCTTTCTTTTTATCATTTTTGGTAATGGCCTTAATTTTGTTTTGAAGTTATGTGAAACACAGTATATTCAGAGAAGTTGAGTTTTCATTGTGTTTCTCCCACATCTCCTTTCTTAGATAAATGTTAACTAATGTTACTAATATGTTACTATACATATTTTTGTTTATCTTTTTGTTTCTGTTTTTGAGAGAGAGTCTTACTCTGTTGCCCAGGCTGGAATGCAGTGTCATGATTATAATTCACTTCAGCCTCAAACTTCTGGGGTTAAGCAAACTTCCTGCCTCAGCCTCCTAAGCAGCTGGGACTACAGACAGGTATGCACTGCCATGCCTAGATAATTTTTTTAAAATATTTTTTTGTAAACAGGGTCTTGCTGTGTTGTCCAGGCTGGTTCTCAAACTGTTGGCCCTAAGTGATGCTCCTGCCTTGATCCCAGGCATGAGCCACCACACCTGGCCCACTTTATTTAACTATACAATTTATCTCAGCATTCACTTCTTATCAGCATGTACAGATATCTCTCATTGTCTTTAAGCTGTAAGTTTATTCAAGCAGTCCCCAAATGATGGACATTTGAGTTGTTTGTAGTCTCACTTAAAGATCTGTATATACGTTGATCAACATCTAAAGACATTTATGTTGGAAAAAAGTCTAATTCCAACAAGGGGGCAAAATTATACAAAATGACTTCTACAATTTGGGCCATATTCTCCCATTCATCA